TTTCGTAACTCGGGGATCTGGTTACTGCATGCCCGTGCCTTCCCCACGCTTTTCCTATCAGTTTGGGAACCGCAGCTCGCTAGCCGCGCCAGGGCCTGCATACGCTTTTCCTGCTCTTCCCCAGTCCAGATACCATCTGCACAGCCGCTTTGCAGCGGCGGAGCTGCGCGCTCGTTCTGCGGGGCTTCGAGGAGCCTTCTCCCCCTTTCGACTGTGTTTCTTGTCCTGCCCTCCCTCCTGCTGATGGTTAAACTGCCTGCGGCTTTGCACAGGTCTCGTGAGCGTAAATCTCACGTTAGGGGTCTTTTGCACTGTAGCAGATGCCCCAGAACAATTTTCTGTCCCGCCGTATGCTATCCCCTGTGCTAAGCGGACTACGGCCGACGTGCGCGCGAGGCATGAGCTGGTGCAGAGCAGAGCGGCTTTCTGGGCACGCCGGCTTGAGACGATTTGAGTGGAAGATGTGTTTATTTCAGCCCAAGAGAAGGGGCGGTCGTGCCAGCGTGGTGCTGCGTGCGCCGGCCCGGGGACGGCGTGCCGTGCCGGCTGCGGGTACGTGCCACGGACGGGTGATAAACCAGCAGGCGCTTCCCACGCTCCCATCCGTGTGGATGCTCGGAGCAGAGAAGGATGGAGAACGCAGCAGTCTTGGGATTTCCTTTCCTTAGCAGGGAAGGAAGGCTGTTGAGGTTCCCTTGGATTTCTCATTTCCATGCTTCCCAGCTGCAATATTTACCAGTTTGATCTCGACGGCACCATCGCTTGGAGGGGGAACACGAGATAGCAGGGATGGAGAAAGCCCAACTGGAAACCAGCTGTGTCTTGGAGGAGGGTTTCCAGTAATCGTCCATCTTCTGTTATCTCCCCTGCTCCTCCCCGCTCGGGAAGAGTTAACCTTTGTTATGCTTTGAAGGCTGATTATTTTGGTTGCAAAATCTCCTGCTTCTGAAGCCGCTCTAGGCCCAGGCGGCAGCAGTGCTCTGACTGGGGGCACATTAACCCTTTCGGGGCTGTAGGCCAGCCCCAAAACAAGGTGTTTTTTCTCATCCCAGCCTCCTTGTCGCAAGCCAAGAAATATAAATATTGCTGCAGCTGCAGACCGCCTTGGATACCGGAGCTAAATTAGGGCCACGGGCAGCGTTACCAAACACACGCCCGGATAGCTGGAGACGGCGCTCACGTGGCCAGAGCGAGCAGCAGGCTGCAGAGGAATATCTTTGTGTTGCAGGACTAAAATGGCATTAATACGGCTGGGCAGCGGGGAGCAGCGACTGGGAAAACTGGGTTCAGGTGCTAGCAGAGGGGCGGCTGCGAGCTGGTTTTGTCTCTGCCTGGCTTTCCCTGCCAGGAGCAGGAGCAGCGCAGGGGCGGCAAGCCAGCCCTCGCCGATATGTTTGTGTCGCGTATATGCAGCGTCTCCCTTGGACAGCGGGAGAAGTAACCTTAGCTTTTTTGGAGCGTCCTTCCAAACGTGCCCTGGGCGTGACTGCGTTCCTGAGTCTGCAGGCAGCCTGAAACCAGTCCAAAAGACATTTCTGTCCCTGCGTGTCATGAGTTCCCAGGCACGTTACCTTTTAAATCCTCTAAAGGCTGCAGACCGCCTGCGCCGAGGGCATCCTTGCTGCCGGCAGCAGAGGAA